TGCGGAGATTCGGGCTAGAGTGAGTGACTTGCTGAAGTGAGCAATTGCGTTTCAGGGCATCCCCCGCCCGCACTCGTCCCAAGCCCTGCATCGAAACTAAATTTCCGCCCCAGACCACCTCACACTGAACCGAACAGAGTGGGATGTGAGGGGTTAAGAATAGGCTTGCAACACCAACGAGTACCAAGATAGCAGGTTTATACTGGCCACTTGCCATTAGCTAATAACGAAGCAGCATGTCACACCCGTCAGATGTGCAGAGCAGCGACATTGCGCGCTGTTTCTGGGCGGCGGCGAGTCTTCGGTGGCAGGAGCCTGCGTTTCTGGAAGGCGGGAGTTCGCTAGATCGATTCACAGAGATTTGTAATGTGGGATATAGATGAAAAGACGCCTGAGTTACAATTGAACAGCCCAAATCGATTCCTTCATTAATGATGGAAGCATGCTGGTACGAAGCCACGCGATTGCCAGTCATGAGCCCGATGTTTGCTCAAATCCAGGTATGAAAAGTTGGGGACCGAATGAAACCTTCGAAGACTCCAAATAGCGCAGAGGTGAGGTGCCATTTCTGGACTTTAGATGGACCCCAATGTGGGTGTTACCAAGAACCGCAGCCCAATGGCGCCTGTGAGTTGTGAGAAGGAGCGACTGTTTCGCACATGCTGCGACTTCACCCGACCTGTGTTTACACTCCAAGTGGAACGAAGCAGGCAAGACTTCTAGACTGTAGGGCTCCGAAGTAGCTAACATTCGGAGGCATGGGCTCTTCAAGTCTTCAGGGAAACCCTAAACCCTAAACCCTAAACCCAGGGTTTGCTAAAAAAAAATGGGAAACGGCTGCCGGGCCCTGGAGTCGAACAGTACTTGCAATAAACGAGCCTGAACCTGCCAAAATTCTACTGCTTTTTGTTAGGGCTCCCTAGAAATATGTTACGTAGGGTTCAGACTAAGAAGCTACAAAAGTAGGTCTTGGTGGTTTAACAGAATTTTGCATAATCACCAGCATTAATCCTCAGGACCCCTGATTGTTATGATAAGAATAATATTCCCCAAACCCTCGTTTAGTTATAAAGGCTCCTGTAGTGCAAAGGTGCGGCACATTTGGGTCGGCCGCAGCTGCCGCGCTGCACGGAGCAAGACTTGAGCTTGCTGGCCCGGTTCATCCCCAACCGTAAGGGTTTAGGGGTTTAGGGTTTGTTTAGGGTTTAGGGGCCTGAATCGGTTCATTCATGGTGAAGTCTGGCTTAGGCTTTCCACTGCTTAGCGGGATTAGTGTTTAGCAGTACAGCTCTAGGTTTGCCTACACCCTCGAATATACGTAGCTGTTTTCGGGACTAGTATATGCTGTCTTTGTCATGGATATCCAAGAACAGGTGTTGTTAGCCCAATTTTTTAATTTAGATATTAGGCAAAAGTTATAGGGAATGTACAAAATTGGTGCTTTTTCGTAGTGCGAGACAGTCCCACCGATGCTGCGATGCCTGGCACTCTGCCACGAATCAAGCTCTGCTCGTGCTTCTCATAGTGAGTCTCCACTGCTGCTCCCGCTGCTACTTCCACGACGACTACCCGTTCGACGACGACTGCACTACCCCCCACCCCTACTACCTACCACCACCATCACGCGGACGACGACGACGACTACAACTGCCACTGCTAGTGCTACAACTATTACCACCACCACCACTGCCACTACTACTACCACTTCCACAGCCACGAGCCACTAGCACTTGCACTACCACTACCACGTCCACCACCACTACCACTACCACTACCCCTGTTACTACTGCTGCTGCTACTACTACTACTACGACGACGACGACCACGACGACGACGACGACGACGAGGACGACGACTACTACTACTACTACTATACTACTACGACGACGACTACGACTACGACTACGACGACTGCCAGTACGACTGCCACCGCTACTACCGCCGCCGTGCTGACAACAATCTCTCCACCTTTGTACAAGTAGCAACAGCAACATTGCAACCACCACCTTACTCATCAAAAGTTTCTTCGCACGGCTGAGCGGTGCGGCGTAGCACGAGGGTCCAAAGAGCCAAGCGGAAAGACCAGTATGTTACGATATTGTCTCTGGTCTGGGGCTCATTGGCTTGCTGTACTCCGTCGACGTCTGTCCAAATCTCTTCCGACAAAGGCAACATCGCCTGGGCTTCTGCCACCTTGAAGTTCAATCCCTCGCAGTGGCTCGTGGACGTGGCGTGCGCATTTTCTGAGCTTCTTTTGCTGCACTGCTGTTTCGCAAGCAACCCTGGGTGCAGCAGCATTGCCTGGTAGCACCGCAGCTTGGTGGTTGCTAGTAGATTGGTACCACTGACACTGTAGTAATTAAGTCTATTGTTGATGCCTGTGACCCCTCACCAACAGAACCACAAGGTCTCCACCTTGGGCCTGAGGTTGCATCAAGAAGGGAGCTGTTCACCTCAGGCCATCGCCAATGTTCTCTGGAGCCGCTCGGACTTCTTTTTGAATGCTCCGGCACAGGAGCTTAGATGCTTGTTCGACTCTTGCTGCCACTGCCATTCTTAGAATTGTGACTTGAGCATTTACTATCACGACTGTTGTTGCTGTAGTATACACGCCTCAATAAGTAGCTATTCTACTTGCGGGCGCTTATAACCATGAAATAATGGGCCCCCGAAACCCTATTCTAGTTATGAAGGCCCCCATATATCATAGTTACCTTACAGTTTCTCTTATAGACCCCCTTTAGAACCCTTTAAAGGAAACCCTATGCCAATTATGAAGGCCTCTATATGCCCATCCAAGCAAGGTCTGGCAAAGGCCCACGAAGGTGGCTTCGGCGACGAGGCTGGAAGTGAACTCGTTGCGGGTTTAGGGTTTAGGGTTTGCTTCAAGAGGATTTTTCTTCTATAAGCTTTAGAGTCTAGGGGAAGTGAACTCGTTGCTTCCAGAGGAGCTTTCTTTGAAGAATTAGGGAGTTTAGGGTCCATGCGGGCATATACAAGTCTGTGCAAACAGGGGGTTTAGGGTTAAGGGTTTTCGGTTCGTTGCTGGCTGATCCTGAGTCTAGGGGCCTTAATAATTAGAATAGGTTTTTGGGGCCCGTTATGCCATAATTTTAATCAGGCCCCTATAGTACTTGGGCTGTTGGTCTGTAGGGCTATAGCACTTAGTTAGAAGTTTACGGCTTATCTCCGTCCTTGCCCGCTCTCCGGCATGACTAGCCAGACGCCGGAGCTTTGGCCAGGCACGAGTCTGCAGGTGTAAAGCTTCAAAGCTTCACAAACCAGAAAAGGTGCAGCGGCAGAAACAGAAGCACCTTTAGATACTTCAGAACACCTCCAACCCCTGCCTACACGCTGAAGTCAGCCCATTTCCCAGCTCGGAACCCGATCCTGAGAGGCTTTTCGAGATGTAGCTCTCCGACTGGAGCCTGCCATCGCGGCCTCTTTGCCAGCTGCCTTGCCGCAGCATGCGACTTGGATGACTTGCACATGCAGTCTACAAATGTAGCTAAGTTACGGGTGCTTGGGGCAAGCCGTGCGCTCAGCCATGGCTCGAATATCAAGACTCAAAAAACCGCAGAGGAACGAAAACATCACCTGGATAGGGCACCAAATGCTTCCACTTTTACGGGTATGGCTCGAGCTGGGAACATTTCGAGCTGTGCATTCGTATTTGGCAATTTCCCAAAGTTTTTTATCGTTTTTTACCACGGCCATTTATACTTGGTTTGGATCAGTTTTGCAGGCCGCATGGGGATCTCACCTTGTGTCGTCGTGCGAGACGTGGATCCGACACGAGTTCGCTCCCTGCGATGCAGACATACTGAAGCGACATAGCTGGCACACCCGCGCATGCTCGTATGTGCTCAGATGTGCATGATGCACCGGCCGCTTTATGATGTGCAATGCACATACTGTCTACCTACAATTGCATATTCGCTTGTCGAGTTTTGCAGCGCATTTGCGTGACAACCGGTTGCTCACAGAATCTTGCCGAGGTACGGATCCGTTTTTCTAAAGCTCAGTTCACGATATCTCGCGATTAAAGACTACAGGCTGCGTGATGACACTAGAACATGGATTTGAAGACATCCGTGGCATTGCCCAGCTCCTGTTATAGCTGGCGGCTCAAGCTAGGTCGCCAACATACTATGGGCATTGGCGAAATTGGGCGTGCAACTTGATGTCGAAGGCGCCGTCTGCCGGGATAGAACCAAAATGGGGGCTCCTTGACATCGAGCGCGTTGCTTCGTTCTGGCTCTGTACGAGGCTCCGGGGATTTCTGCAACCAACAGATGGTACTGTGTCTAAGCAGAGGAAGGCTGCTCGGGACCTCCAGTTGCTCTGGATGATGAGCTAAATGCATATGAGTGGACCTATTGATTTTTCAGGCCAAGCGCGACACCTCAACTTCCGCTATACCCACACGTCCGTAAGTCAAGTTCACTCTTATCATGATCTTACAGAAGCAGGAGTTCTTGCTTTGGCTCGCTTCTACATCGCGAAACCGCCGTTTTCTGCATGGCAGCTGACAGGCGACTCGCAGAAGTTGAGAGAGAGAGAGAGAGAGAGAGAGACCGACCCACAGAGAGAGAGAGAGAGAGAGAGAGAAAGCCCAATGCCAACCACTCACTAAAACAGTGGGGGGTTGGGCGGGGCAATGGCCTGAGGGTCGCTTGACGACCTAAGCCCTGCAGAAAGAAAGAAAGAGAGAGAAAGAGGGAGGCGGCTCCTAAAGCACGCGGCTTCCAAGCTGGCTTGAACATGTACAGTCTCATGGGACATGTCAACAGACGTAACATGAGCAATACCTGCTAAACAACAAAGACAAAGAAGCGAGAGAGCGGGAGAGAGAGAGAGAGAGAGAATACCATAACCCTGGCGAAAGAAAGAAAAGAGAAAGAACCACGAAGCCCTTAACCCTCGGAAGGAAAGCAGGAGCGAGGAGAGAAGCATGGGGCTGGCTGCCAGGAGAACTGACCGCCAACCTCAGCAAGCGCATGCTCGAACTTCTTGATGTGCCTCGCCTATCTCACCCCTGTTCTGTAGCTATGGTAGTGTGCATTTGCAGCTAGCAAAACAGCTCCCTAAACCAGTCATTCAGCTAGCTACCCACATCCGGCTTCCCTGAATGCAGACACGAAGAAGAGTAACCGTTAATCTGTAATCGACGTGTAAGACGCAAGTGAAATCAAAGCAACTCAGAGCCCAAAAAGCAGCGGCTTTGCTTTGTGGAGTTTTAGGAAGCCGACATCCCAGAGACTGATGAACCCTAAACCATTTCCGAGTTGCGAGCGCCAAAACCCCAAAACTCAAGGAAGCCGAAATCCCCCAAACCCATGTTCGAGCGTGAGCGCCGAAACCCATGACCCTCAACTGCCTTAAGTGTCTTGTACGACCTCAACAACCCGTATAGTTGCCGTTTCACTCAGCAGACCTCGAACCACCTGCCTCGCCTGGACTGTCCGCGTGTGAGCGCCGAAAACCTTAGGAAGCCGAAATCCAGCACCTGGCCATGAGTTCCTGGGGGTTGGCCCGTCTGCTGCTGGGCCGTCACAGAGAGTATGCTGCTTACAGGGTCGGTGGCGTTAGTATGTTTTAGTACAGGGGTTGGTTTAGGGAAGTTTAGGGTTTAGGGCCGGATAAAGGATACATTACTAGTTATAGTCCCATTCTTTATTATATGATTATGACTTGATACACCGCAAAACCCTCTTCTAGTTGTTCAAGCCCTTGTACTAAGCTTAAAAAGTTAGGTGCCTCGGCTTCGGGGTTTGAGGCCAAGGGTGGTTGTGCGAGGATTAGGGCTAGGATTTCCGATCGAGTTATATGGACACAGGACATGAAGCCAAAGCCAAGCACGGCTTGTGCCCCTTATTGTGAACTGCCTATGTCGATTCGAAGTCAACAAGGCATGTTACTCGAACCGGCATGCAAATTTCGTCCTGCTGTGTGGATGCCTACAGTCCTACAGACTGGAAGCGGACCGGCTAAGTGCAGGTTGCCGGTCGAGGCGATGCGCCTCAAGCAATTAAGTTGCAGGGTCTCTGCTCGCAAGCCATGCGCTGAAAAGCAGTAAAAGCTACCGAAGCCGTCGGTATCTATCATACAGTTTTTAGATATCTCAACTCTGAGCCCGCGATATTTTGAAGACGGGTCGTTCCTACCATGTTCCAGGGATTGTGGCTATCTAGACGCCTCGCTCAGTTGTGAGAGTCGAAGCCCTGTGCCCTTAAACAGTTAAGCCCTTCAGTCAATCCCTCAGCACTAATCATCTTGCCGAAGCCTTAGCCTTTTTCAACCGAAGCCCTAAATCCTTTAAAGCCCTCTACCTCACGAAGCCGCATGACTTCGCTGCTCACTGACACCCAGGCATGGCACCAAACAGGCCACGGGGCCTGCGCGTGACTTCTTCTGTCGACTGGCAGATTCTCGGCCCAAGGAAATGCGATAGGCGTAGAACACCCAAGCACGTGACAAAGTAAAGCAAGCAATACACAAGTTACAGAAGGAGCATGCGTAGTCGACTTACATCCGTTAAGTCCTTTAGTAGTAATTTTGCTACATACACAAACAGCTCACACATGCATGCATGCATGCCTTGCCATTTTTTGCGCGGACACGCTGTGTACCCGGCCTTGTCGTAGACTGTAAGCTAAATGCCACATACATATTTGTGCGCATCTATATGGAAGAGTAAGTGCATGTACATACACAGTTACATATCTACTTATCTACATACCTACCTACATACATACATGTTGAAGTGTTTCGAGCCCCGATGGGTTATTTTGATATGGTCGCTGTGCTAGGACCACCTTCGCCGGCGCACTCGAACATCTGATCGAACATGGAAGTCCCGCCACCTGGCTGCACCTCTTCGTGAGAGTTCGGTAGTCACAGATGTCGTCACATGCTCGGGCATCTGTACATGTAACTCAACGGCACTCTCTGCTCCGGACGATTGTCGCGCTGCCTGTGGAGACGAGTAGCCGCCAGTGCAAACTTGCCGAGGATGGGATGGCATCTTCTTGTCGCACGTGTCCATCATGTGCTGGTCCTATGCCAGGCTGCAAATCTTCTGTAGTCCGGCATGGATTTGTAGGGATGTGCTTGCTATCCACACGCGTAGACTGTGCCGGCAGGGTCCTGTCTGCCGACAAGGTTACTCGCAGACTGCTGAAGAATCTTGGCTGGCTTTGTGCTGGGGCCTATGTCCCTTTCCAGCTTCCCATAATCCAGCAACGTGGCTTTCTCGTGGCTGATGGCTTTATGATTCATGCTTGAATCTGACGCCACACCTGCGTCAGTTGAGTGGCAGCAACTTCCCATGGCAACACCTGCCCAGCCAGGTCTGGAAGTCGCCGGGATATCGTTTAGCCATGCCAGTTTGCTAGTATTTCTTGGTAAGGAAGAAGAGCTTTGCCATTGGAATGACCATGGATTGTCGTTTGCCGCACTAGCTACCGTGTGAACGGAACCTAGATTTCTTGTGTTGAATGTTGTCAACGGATACCTTGGTCTGATAGCTCTTGGACACGGGCAGGTGTCCTGATGTTACTGCTGCAATCGAGGAGTGCAAGCAAGCAGTTGGAGACGTTTACCGAGGAAGGCGTGCATCCCAGAGGTCTTGTGCACCGTGAGGTTGAAATTCAGGCACCCCGAAATAGCATGCAATAGTCAAATGAGCCTGGGGGTTAAGAATCTATGACGTGCCAGCGATCTGCCAAGCATTGCTGTACAGCAGCTGTTCAGCATCGGAAGTGTGTCTGAGGTGCGATCAAAGCGCAGGAGCATGCCAACCTGCTGTGGGCCTATGCACAGGCCACCTTTAGATCATTTCATGAGGTTCTGGCTTCTGGAGTCGAGGTGTGTGTTTGTGCGCCTGTCTGTGTGTATGTATGTAAAATGTTATCATGTTTATTTGCATGCAGGGAGGTAGGTAGGTGTACTGTACCTGTCTGGACGTGCACATATGCGTTGTGCATACGTGGATGTGCAGATGCTGGAATGTGTCGGGAAAGTATGCCGGCATGTTTGTGCAAGGCATACCTGTCTGAAGTCCATACATTCAAGCTGTCAAAAGCGGTCCAAATCTTTGAATCGTCACGTCGTCGCCGCCATCCTTGCCAGGACATGCCCACGTGAGGGAATCAAGAACCCCAAGAACTCCACCCTGTAAGCCCCGAAGATCCAACCCAGGCGGGAGGCAAACAGAAAGCACCGGTAAGTAACCCTAAACCCTGAATTATCCGAGTGCGAGCACCGAAACCCTAAATTAAAGCTGCTCCTGATCAGAGGCCGCCGACGAAGCATGGGCCGGCATGCAGAAGCCTCGTGTCATGCTCGATGGGTCCCCTAGAGTGCATCCAGTAAACCTGTTTGTCCCTCTTTGTCTCTTGCTCCTTCCCTGTCCCTCTCCCTCGCTTTTTTTCTCTGTTCCTCTCGCTCGCTCGCTCTCTCGCTCTCGCTCTCGCTCTCGCTCTCTCTCTCTCTCTCTCTCGCTTTGTCTCTCTCTCTCTCTCTCTCTGTCTCTCTCTCTCTCTCTCTCTCTCTCTCTTTGTCTCTCTCTCTCTCTCTCTGAGTCTCTGTCTCTCTCTTTCTCTCTCTCTCTCTCTCTCTCTCTCTCTCTCTCTCTCTCTCTCTCTCTCTCTCTCTCTCTCTCTCTCTCTCTCTCTCTCTCTCTCTCTCTCTCTCTCTCTCTCTCTCTCTCTCTCTCTCTCTCTCTCTCTCTCTTCTCTCTTTATTTGTGTGTGTGTGTGTGTCTCGTTCTCACTCTCTGCCCGTCGATATTTCAGTTTATATGTACATATATACTGCCTGTAACTTACATACATATGCTTTAAATTCAGTGTGTGCGCCTGTGTATGTACATACATACATACATACATACATACACAGAGGCTGCGAAAGCGACGGGGATCTGCGTGGTGCCTTTCCGAAAGAAAAGTCGCAACAGGTTTAGGTTCCATGGGGGGCTTCTTTTTCAGCAGCGATTAAGGTTGGTGCAGCTCCTTTGCGACCCGACTTTTGGACAGCAAGAACAGTAAGGGCACTATAGGGCTCCTTAAAGGGATCCTTAAAGGGATCTTTAATGGAGGATCAGGGGACTTCTGTTTCTGTTGGCCGCGAGGGTGTTTGAAGGAAGAAGCACGTATGAGTGATTCTGATGAAGTCGGCACTTGCGGAGTTAGCGTGGCAAGTGGAGGGCCATTCGAGTCAGCCGAATGTATGGAAAGCTGAGAACTGCATTCTGTCTGGAGCCAAGGAAGTTGAAGCTTTTGGGGGAAAGTTCTGTGTCCTTCGCCTCATCTGCATCAGCGCCGCCCGGCCTGTTTTCGCAGCGGGTTTCGGCATGTTCGTAAGGCTGCGAGGATTTGGAGTACATCGTCATCCTAAACCTTGCGTAAACTCCCGTCTCAGCAGCAACACTTCGGGCAAAGGCTCGCGCGGATTCGGCCCATGATCAGCCCCGTGCAGCAGCGAGTGGCGACCTCATCAGTCCATCCTGTTTCGGCTTTGGTGGTGCATCGAGTGGCTTCACGCTCACATGCGGGTGACTTTAAGTTAAAGTGCTGCTGGGAATGCCGTGTTTAAGCAATCCCTAAACCCGAAACTCGACACCCAAAAGTACAGAATCGAACTCAGCCTCCACACCCCCAAGGCCTAAACCTCCACGCCCGGAGACCATGAATCACCAGAACCCCCGTAAATCCCTATGAAGTCTCAACCCTGAAGCTTTGCTGCAGCTGAGGCCCTTGGGCTGTGGATGGAACGAAGCTCCGGCCGCCTCAGCCGCCGCAAAGACTTCGAGCTGGATGGAGCCGAGGCCATAAGACGTCAGTTTTGAGTGCTTGCAGGGTTCATGGCCTTAGAGGGCCTAGGGCCTATAGGGCTTGTAGGGGCTATCGGTTTTGCAGGATTTCAGCAGGCTGGAAGCACAGCAGAGGGCCGGTTGTCTGAAATTCAGGGTTCCGGATTCTATCATGTGCTTCAATACCCATGTGGTGTGCAGTGGGTTTTCCAGACGCCATGCAGGAGCCCAAAATACCCAATGGGTACATACTTGGACCAAATTGCAGTAGCGGGAAGTTGGCGTCATCATCAGCCATTGCAAGAAACACAAAAGCTGAAGAACCAGCCAAGAGCAGCAACGGCTGCGGCAACGCTCGCTGATTGAAAGAAAAAGGGTTTAGGGTTTAGGTTTTAGGCGACACCCTAAAACCCTAAATCCTTAACCCTACACCCAAAACCTTCAACCCTAAAACCCTAAACCCTAATCTTTACTGTACTCTAGTTTCGAGGCTCCCAGGCATTTCGTCCTCCGTGGCACTACCTTGGTTTTGGCTGTATTTTCCTTCGGGGATGCCTGGTGTGCCTCCCTCCTCTAATACGGGGAGTCTTCTCTCAGCCCGCCCGACAGCTGGTCCTACATGGCCTTACCTTCTGTTGAGCTGTTCTTCTTTCAGCTATCGGGTGAGCCTTCTAGTCTTTCCTTCTGCCGACTTAGCACCAAGAACCTCGTCTGGCTTGTCCGAGTTGCGAGAGCGTAAACTGCTAAACTTCCCTCCACAGACCACCCAACCACCCATTGCCAACCCCACCCCATGCCACAACAACACAAACACATCCACACATACCGCCCCTTGCCAGCCAAAACAAACCCCAGCAGCCTCGACCCAATACTACAACAACCCCAACAGCCCCCACAACCCCCCCCCATTCCACCAACAGACAACCCAGACAGACCCTAGGAGCCACCAGGGCCCCAAAACAGCACACCCAGCACACCCGCATAACATCGGCAAGCCATGTGGGGCTAGACGGCCTAACGAGGCCCCGACCCACAGAGTTCAATACCCCTTACTTGAGGAGTACACCGCACAGTAGATCGTTATCTTCACCCCTATGGTTATGAATAGATTGAATAGATGGCTGAATGTATAGTCCCACAGTTACGTAAGCACCGCTGTTAATATGGATATCGAAATTCATGGATGTTAAGGCATGCTCGCTAGAAATCTGGGACGAATGAGACCGACCCCTCCGAACTGAGCTTGTGTGTTTGATTGCCTCTGAGAACTCTAAACCCCTACAACCTAAACCCTCAAGACTCTGCAATGCGGGCTTCGTCCTTGCTAGGTAGGAGGAAAAAAACCCTCAACACTCTGCTTTGCCACAGTAGCAGTAGCAGTTGTTGTAATGGCAGTCGTCGTCGTAGCCGTCGTCGTCCTCGTGGTAGCAGTGGTACTGGTCGTAGCAGTGGCAGTAGCACTAGTCTTTGCTGACGACACACCCGTTTGAGTTCAGCTTTTCCGTTCTAGCTCCGATGATTCTTCCTGGCCCGAACCTGAGCCCAAAAGGAACAACGGCAGATCCCAAAACCTAAGCATCATATCCCTAAGCCTTCAACACCAAAAGCTTGAACGAAATCTGACACCGTACCTTTCCGTGAGGTCATCGGCTTGCTCCGTGCACTGGTGGCCTGCAGCAGGCTACAGTCTCGGATGTGGCTCGCTCCGTACATGGCCTAGGGCCCTGCAAACCTCATAGTTCGATGTTCCTCTTTATGATCGTCTTCTGGACTTTCGGGTCTTCGGTAAGTACGCGGTCACATAGTCACAGAGTTTCGGTCTCGTGCAGTTGCACCCGGCTCAGGCCAGCCAAAGGCTCAACCTCCTTCCTAAAGTCAAGTGTCCAACTGTAATCCTCCAGATTTGAACCGACTTTGCTTTCGTTTGTGGTACCCGGTAACTATTCAACTCGGGGCCTTTCTTGGGCCTGTGGCCTAACTAAACCCTGAGCCCTACATCACCACTTTGGGACTCCTCAGCGAAACGGAAAAGCATCGTTCAAACAAAAACCACGCGATTCCTAAAACAACAGCTAGAATGAGAGTATTTCTGTTGCCAGGGGTCTAAGTTCAGTATAGATGAGGCTGAGCTGCTGCCTCAAAGTGTTGCAGAAGGACCGGCATGGTGGCGGGAAGGAGGCTGAGACGTCCAGGCTTCGGTTCGGGGCTCCTTACGCTTTGGGGGTTTGTGGTCATGCGTTTTCCTGTTGCATATTATGTCCAGCTTGCTTCTCTTCCAGGTTGCCAGAATATTTTGTGCGATGCAGGCTGATTATGTTCAATTGCCTTCCTGTGACATCTCGCGGAAACTGACCAGCCTGCACAGTGATTGCTATGTTCGTTTCTTCAGTAGACGTAATCCATAGCTACGGCTACAGCCAATAATTCACCATATCCATAGCACCAGTCTGTGTTATCAGGACGGCACGGAACATGATCAGCAGAACCGGCACCAAAGCGTCGTGTGAGGAAGCCTCCAAACCCCTATACCATCTGCATACTCATCTGAATGGCTTTGAGCGACCACGCCGTTGACAGTATCACCCGACATCATGTGGACCGTATGCGTCGCCTGGATTGTCCGAGTGTGAGCGCCGCAACCCTCCACCTCAAATATCTTAAAGCACTGAACTTGTGTGTGTGTGTATGTATGTGTTTATATGTGTATGCATACAATATGTAAATGTATAGGTGTATATATATATATATACACACATACGTAGATACATACATGCGCACAACGCTGAAGGACTCTGAGAGCCTTGCTCCCTCGCAGATGCTGGTGGTGCTCCTAGCGCTCCGCACGATTCGGCCCAGGAGCCCTGCTCAAGAGAGTTGAATGTTGAAAAATGATCCCAAAGGCTGCTAGGTACTTATATTATAATAAGTTTATGGTATTTCATGGTACATTGTAGTATAGTTTATGGAATATAGGGGATACTTCCCCAAATCATCATAGCAGTTTCTAAAATCAGGTAACCTGCATTCTACCATGCATGCTGAGTCATGAAGGTACTTCGGACCCTGGGGGAAAAGTCAGCCTGGGGGTGTATAGGGTTGAAGGGGTACCTTATACTGGGCTTCGACGGAGCGCGCATAGGGGCTCTGCGGGGTTTACTGAAGGGTTCATGAGGCGGTATTTAACGGGGCTGCGGGTTTCAGAGGAAAAGAGCTTCGTGGGGGCTGAAGAAAGAAACAGGGGCTTTCTGGGGGGTTTGTGCGCTCTGTGAAGGGTGTCAGGGCCCTCCAGTCTTTTAATTGGTGAAGGGTGCATGGGGCTGTATGGGGTTTCACACACGGCTTCAGCCTGAACTATGGGTGGATCCACTGGCCTGAGCCGCAGGCGACTGAACGACGAGCAGCTGTGGTTCCTCCGGCTGGCGCCTTGCCTGGTGCTTGTGTTTTCGCGGAAACATAAGAGGCGGTCCTGTGCATCTCTCGAACGTTGATGGGCTCGATGGAACTTTGACCAGGCACTGATGACGTACCATTTACAACTACTTGCCAGTGACTTCCGTGCATGACCCTGGTACAGAGTGGCAAAAGAACAGAAGATGTTTCTGTATGTCAGCACACGATATGGCGCTTTGTGCTAAAATAGTAGTCTCGCAAACAGCCTTAGGGTCTGGGAATGTCTGGAGTTTAGGATCCTGGGGCTTTGGCATAGGTCAACCACAGGCTCGGGCGATTTCTCTGCAACCTCTCAGAAACCCTCCGTATAATCACAGTGCAGGGAATCAACCCCTCTGAACTTGCTCCAATACGTTCGGCTCCGACAGTACCCAGATGGAGCTGCAATCTGCAAACTCAGACTGCCTGACAGGTGCAATCTCGATTCGAGGAATTTCGGTTGCCGCAGCAGCTCAGTATTATTAGACAGGGTTCAGAGACAGACGGCATCGGTTTAGGGTGCAGTTGCAGAGTAAGCCTCAAGTAAGCGCGACCAACGGCTTGAGGTTTGCGTTCCGCACACAACAACACCAAGATTGTGGTACAGAGAATCGGAAACATAGTATTCAGATGAGAAGCAGAGAGAGTCTGAGAGATTATATAGGGGCTTGAAAATTAGTGATACTATGCCGTATACCCCAAGACTCCTTCCATAGTGCTTAAGGCCCGGATACTCAATCTCTGTCAATACCCAGTTTACCCTTTAACATGAAGGAACTTGGTTTGAGAGAATGCAAAACTCACAGTATGATGTCTTGTTTGGACGCTTAGGGAAACCGCCCCAAGCTTGAATCTGAATCCTTAACCCCAAACCCCTCGGTCCTCACTGAGGCTAGCTTTGGCTCTCTGGCGGTTGCATGGCATCCAGGAGGAGCTTGCAGATGGCGCGGAGATGCGGCAGATGACGCTCGGTGGGAACTGGTCGTTTTATTTACCTGAAGGACCAAATGACCCTCGAAAGTACGGGCCCTATACCCATATACTATGAATCCCTACATGGTATATGAATCTTAACCCTTTTACGGTCCATTTCGTCCTTAAGGTATGCAGTTATCACAGCATGGACAGTCATGCCAGTAGTAGTCGTAACGGAAATAGGAATAATGGTGGCAATGGTTGTCATAGTAGCAGCAACCATGTAAATGCTGAGGGGTGAACAGATTGAGGAGCGGGTTTGCATATATGTCCGGGCTTAAAGACTTCTCTCACAGCTGCAGTCATGGCGATGCGAACATACCAGTGCGACCTACACACGGCTCTTCTTGTTCTAATTTTGCGCACGTGAAAGTTTGGCGCATGGATCCCACCTCCATGACAGCGAGAGGCCTCATCAGATTCCGCAGACTTTCGCAGCCAGGAGCAGCAACAGAAAATCTAAGATAGCCTCGGCGAGTGACTGCGGAAGCTATCCGAGATCCATATCCCAGTCACAAGGATTGCGAGACCCGAGCCCTAAACCCATTTCCCTGAAAGCCTTGCAAGCTTTCAGCTAGGCGGGTGGGAAGCAACCTTGGAAGCTAAATCTGGAGCCTAAGATCAGAAAACCATCGCGGACGCCTAAACCCTAAAGCCTAAACTCTACACCCTAAACTCTAAACCCTAAACCCTGTCTGGAGGCTAATGTGGCTTATCAAGAAGGCCCAGCAGAATATCGCTTTCGGGATCATGCGAGACGGAAAAGGTCCCTCAAAAAGCAGGTTAAACCCTAAACTCTGAGCCCTACCGGTAAAGTGTGAGGATCGAGTCCGGCACGGCTCGATTTCGATCCGTTCGGCTTCGATGGCCGCAGCCGCCCTGGCGCCGCCACGCCGAGCCCGAGGAGAACTCTTACATGAGAGAGAGAGAGAGAGAGAGTCTCTCTATGTACATGTATGTGTATGACTAAATGTATATATATATATATATATATATATGTATTATATACACATGATACACACACACATATATATATATATATGTATCTATACCTATATATACATATACATATACATGTATATATATATATATATATTGATTGATTGATTGTTGCCTGTTTTTTTATGAATGTACATGTTTGTATCTCTTTCTTTTCTCTCTCTCTCTCTCTCTCTCTCTCTCTCGTCGCTTTCTTGTCATTTTATTTGGTTAGCTGCTTGTTATTTTGTTTCTGCTCCATCCAGTCAGCCAGCCAGCCATTCATCCGTTCATCCCTACCTATCATTCCAATCTATCTACCTACCCCGCTATCTTATCTAGCTTTGTAACTATGCTTTATCTTTCCATCTATCTAATGGGTCATGCATTTATGCACCATTCTATCTGCCATCGCTATCCATCAGTACTTCTTTCAATCAGGTGGCAAACAAAACAATCAATCAATCAGTCAATCAATCAATCAATCAATCGATCAATCCATCAGTCAATCAGACAATCAATCAACCAATCTAGCAAGCAAGCAAGCTCTCTACCTCTTTCAAGCAATCTACCCATCTATCTAAAGTACCTAATTACTGTCCTGTCCATCGGTCTCTGTACATCTAAGTTTCTATCCGTGTATGTAAGATGTGATTGCGCAGAATTGCGCAAGCATGCTTTCCGCGTGGGTAGCCATAGAGCACAGCCAGGCCGACGAGACTCCATCAGCCGATCAGACAGAGGAAGTACACCTCAGCATGTCTCCTGGCAGCCTGAGGGAACGGAGGGGGGGGGGGGGTAGGTGGGGTTCGGGCTTAGGGTTGTGCGGTTCCTTGCAGGACTGCCGGTTGGGTGCTGGATTTGGACAGCTTCGAGGTTCAAGATGTTCAGGACATGCAGCCAGCATGCCTCGCTTCATGCTCGTCCGTGTCGTGGTCCTTCCCCTCTTTGCTCTGTAAGCTCGGAGGCGGACACCGAAAGCCGAATCAGCATATCGGCTAGTTGACGTCGCAGCGGCAAAAAGCTCACTACATCACCACATCACACCTTCAGAAGCTAGACCGCAAATCCTAAACTCCGCCAACCTTCAACCCTAAATCCGAAGCTAACCCATCCATCCTCGCAGGGAGGACTGGCGATGGCTGGCGAACTCTGCATTGCCCTGCCCGCTTCTGCACGATGAAGCAATGGGTTCCATGGCTTAGAAAATTGCCAGAAGGGGCCTGAATTTGATTACGACGGAGGGGATGCATCCCTCCCCTTCAAGCGTGACATAGCCGCGCAAATCCAATATAGAAGCCGAAATAAATACCCGACTACCCAAAACTATTCCTCATATGGTTTATATTCAGTCTAACAATATACCCCATATTCTTTGCAGGGTTCCTCATGCTAACCGATGTTTATACCCCAATACCCTAATTTTCAAGGCTCGCTATGGCTCTGAGGTCCCCAGCCGTGGACTGCTAAGTTGCTGCGACCTTTTGCTTCCTGGGTGGCGGCAGTCGTAGATGCAACTTCGCCTGCGGTTGGTACCTGATGTAGGGGCCTTAATGTTTAGAACAGGGTTTTGGGGGGTTCCTTGTTATAATTGTGGTCTAATGTCTAATGTCTAACATACCTTAAAACCCTATTCTAATTATTAATGCACCTATGTTACCGTTCTAACCCAGCCCATTTACCTTGGCATCACCAGCGTCACTTTGAACCGTACGTAGACCAGGAAAGATCTTCATGCATCGTGGAACAGAGAACGACGAGCCTCAGCAAGTCAGCGTGCCTCGGGGCCGTCCCTTTCGCGGCCGGGGAGTTCTTCCCACACGTGTTCTGCAGATTTGAGGGTTGAATGTATGTCTGCGCTCACCAAGAGAATCCCAAACCCACCGTTCTCCAACAAGGCTTGTTGTATTCCAGGTTGCCCAGCTGCCTCTACGGACTGCGGCGGGTGTTTGTTGTTTAAACCCTTGTAGGAAGCTTCCAGTACCCATAAAGACATAATCCGGGACGGTGGTACCCAATCCCGAAGCAGTACGGTGTTCATAACTGGATGTTATCAATGGTTCTAGAAGGGTTACGATTTGGGATACTGGTAACGATAAAAAGACACGAGAAGGGATATGTTATAAGGATTCCTTTACCCAGAGGCTCCAAAGTAGTTCCTTTTTGAGGTTACCTTCTAGGATTCTAAATATGAACCCTAAAAAGGAACTACCATGGAGCCTTAGGGTAACGCCTTTGGCGGTCCTGTCCCAGGAGATCAAAGCCGAGGCCGATCTTCTCGTAGGGGTCACTTCGTCCTTCGAGACATCCTCCGAGGACGAGATTCAGCTGCCAGCCCTCTGCCTATTTTGGGGGATCTCTACTACACCCTAAACTCTTGGGGGGTGGGGGTATATTGGGGAATCTCTAATTGGTTATGTTACTATCATCTTCGGGTTCATGGAGTTGGTGATCTTGTGCTGTGTTTTGGGGGATCCTCGACTTGCATTTGGGGTCTGCATTGGCACTCCTTGAGTCTCGGGCTTTCTGTGAACCCAGGGTTTAGGGACTACTGCAGGCTTTATGAAATCATATTGCTGGAGGCACTTCAGAGAGACCTCGCGTTCAAAGAAGAGGCTTTAGGGTTAGAGCGGAGGGGGTCAAAGATGACGTGGAAGAACCTCAACGTCGTCTGCTCAGTTAGTCCCTGGTACCAGTACCCGGACTCGTGACTTCAGCAATATACCTCAAACATCTTCAAACCATACGGTATATATATATATATATATATATACAGAGAGAGAGAGAGAGCTTCCGTTTTAAAGGGTTTGTTGAATTACAAGGCATTGGGTTCTATGTAACGGTTGCACTCTTAACATGGGAGGCTTTCCATGCAAACCGGGTCCAGAACACTGTTGTGCCATCTGACCCAATACACTCGAAGGACGCCGTTACCCCTGAGTCGTTTGCGCATCGATGCCTGGTGGAAGAGACCGCGTTTTGGCTTCGGGTTAAGTGCGCTGCGGAGGTTTCCGGGCCGTGTAGAGGTTCTGACGAATCTGACGGCGCTGGTCTTTGAGTTTGCGATGGGCTTGATGCTCGGGAGTCGCATGATGCCTAGGGTAGGATGATTGTGGGATCCAACTATCAAGGCCCTGAATCAACAGCTGGCTTTGAAGACCCGGCCTGCCGACATGGCGTGCCTGAGAGCGACCCATCTGATGAAACAGCTTGAAATCCCTCGCAATCACCGGCCGTGCGATTCCTGCAGCATAGTCTATGGTAGTCTCTTGACACCCAGGACTGTACTATCATTGTCGCGAGTCTTGGTGCTCATCTAATGGCATGGTGTTCAGGTTCGACAGCGCTACCGTGCAGTCGTTCAGAGGGATGGCCTTGCATGGACAGGCCGGGCAGTGCTTGCGAGGAGCATCCGTGCTTCTCGCTGTGAGAGTCGCGAGTATTGGATTGTCAAGGGGTTGAAGATGATGCAGAGTCGGGGGATGAGTTCACAGCCTTAGGGTTCCATAAGGAGTTCACGGCCAAGGTCGGCTGAGATGCGCTCGGGCTAACGAGTCGGTCTTGAAGAGTTTCCTAGAAGGGTGAGCCTTACAGGGTTCCTGGAAATAGAAAAGCTACTATACTGTTAAGCTGGCTCTATAAAGCTTCCTGTCAGAAGCGAGAGATAGCCAAGGTCAAGAGCAGCATCGGGAATTAGTGTTGCGCGAGAACCCTTACTGTAAACATGCGAAAGACCATTCAAGTGCATCGTTTCTGTGAGCTTTCATCGAGGCTTAAGCTTCTGGGGGCCTGACGCTTACACTGCTTCACACCTAAATCGCGAAGCTCCCCCAACAACTCCGATTCAGTCGTGGATCATCCATAGTCCGAGAGAGTGTTCAGCCGCCGCCGGCTGCAATTAATGCCGGCCCCTGACAAAAGACAGCTGGCTGGTGAGATGGAAGCGGAGTCGAACCAGGAGGCAGCCGAGTTCCGGAGCATTGCCATCGAAGTGCCCCCGGGCCTTCAAGGGGTGGAAGAAGGACTGCGGCAACTTCGTCAGCTGTTCGAAGCCGAGATCCAAAGCATCACGGCACGCCTGGGGACCGTCGAAAAGCAGCTCGGCATTTCGGAGTGCCGCAATCCGAACTTCAAAGACATTTCGCCGGACAGTGCCGAAGAGGTCGGCCCGGTGAAGACGGAAGACACGTTGACGCCCGTGCGCATCGAGGAGAGTGCATGGAACATCGTGTTGGTCCTTGGCCTGGCAGATGCCGGCTGGTTTGACAACATTTTTGCAGTGCTGCTCGTGCTGCTGAATCTGCTGATGCAGGTGTCATTTATGCAGATTCTGCTATCGGAATACTTCATGGGCGAGCCGTTCGAGACGAGTGTGCAGAGTGCAAAGGATTGGCGGACAAGTATCTGGGTTCTTGTTAAGGAAGCTAGTTCAAGTTACCGAAATAGGGATCTATAGTAAATAGTATGGTTTCCGTATTATGGCAACTTGAATTAAATTCCTTAGTGGCAAAAAACAAGAACCCAGGTATAGCTCATGACTCTCGCCACCTGGACTTGGCAGGTACGAGCCTTGTTTCTCGAGTTTGTGCTGGTGATGGGTCTCTCATCTTGTCTACGGTGCAGGCCACGCTTGTTGGGCAAATCAATGACTTCTTGGGCCTACAAGCAACCGAGTTTGCCTTCAACTTCTGGCAACCAGGCACTCTGTTGTGCATGCTTTGCATCCTACTCTGGAGTTTGTGCGTCTACAAGGAGTTACGAAAGATCTGGCACGCCATGGAGGCGGCCGCAACACTCCCAAAGGCAAGGGTGACGGACTTCCGGGACAACACGATTCATTGCCTCTCCTACAGTCGTGCCTTCGCACTGCTGATCACCTACATCATCCGAGCAGGATTAGCCTTCGTGCTCCTGGTTGCCGGAATCCTCTGGCTAGCAAGGACTACCTCTATCGAGGAGTTGATGCTGAACGCGGTTGCATTGAACGCTATCTTGGATGTGGATGAGTTCCTCTTCGAGGGCATGACGCCCATCAAGATCCAGCGCGCTATCCGAAGTGTCGAGCCAATCAATGTTCGCTACACGCACCGACGCAGCCAAATGGAGTCCATGGTGCATTCCGTGGCAGTGTTGGCAACTGTGTGGTCTTCATATCTGTTGCTTCTCGTACCTCTTTGCGAAACCATGCTGACAGTCAAGCACGAGCTGTGCGGTGGCCAGAGAGACTTCGTGGTCGCCTACAGCACGGAGACGCAAGTCTCATGGGGCGTCCGCACGGAGGACATTGCTGCAGTGCGTGCTACTTATGAGTTTTCACCCATCGAACGAGCTGTCATGTCACACAAAGGAACTCCTTCGAGTCTTCTGGAAGAATGGCCTCAGACCATTTATTTCTCAGATGACCGGCGAACCTTTGACACAGACGTTGCTCGCACGATGACCAACCTGGGCGATCAGTTCCCATTTTGCATGGAGACGACGGTTCTGCTCGAAACTGGTCAGTTGCATCAAGATCCTGCCTTGCAGCCTACCGTCGAAACCTTCTTGCGGAATGCTGCCACAGCTCTGGGACGACCGAACGCCACGACCTGCGCGGAGATGGCGGATCTCTGCAGCTCGCCAGATGCCAGGCTCCTCCGCATGACCTGCGCTGAAACTTGTGGCTGTACCGACCCGGTAAGCTCAGCATGGCACAAGGTGCAGTCTCAGGGGTGTTCCGGGACCTGCCTGGCCGAGGCTACTGCCAAACTTCAAACCGCCAAGTGCGAGGACGATGTTGTCAACCATACGGGTTGGCAGTCCTTCTGGAATGGCTACGAAGGTGCCATAATCGGACACTATGGAGACCGCGTCACTACCACCCAGTTTTTCGGATGGATAGGTTCCATAGCACAGGACTTCTTGTCTTATGGGTGCCCCGTCCTGCAGATACTTCCTACCGAGATCCTGACCGGCGTTTCGTGGTGCGACGGCCACCCACAGCTCTTCCGCCCACTGGCCTCCATGTGCCCCATCCAGTGTGGCTGCCGCCATGGACGTGCACCAACTTTGCCGAACGGTCTGCAAAGCTATTGTCCGGCCACATGCTCCAACGGCACAGCCGAAAGTAGCTGAGGTCGCTAGATGCCGTCTTGAGCCCTTTATTCTTATGAATAACATATGTGTTATCTCAATATGAACACTATTCTGAGAGGTAGCCTCAGCCTCTCTGTGCCCGCAGCTACGTCCAAGAAGTTCACCTCCGGAGCTGCCAGCCTCCGGCCTAAGGCCCGAGGCTGAAACCGACCCGACCCCGCTTGGACCCGTCAAAAAAAACAGCTCGTCGGAACAAAGGTGCTTGCCTTGCCACGGATTGGGAGTTTCCGAAAATGGGGGGGACCTTATTTGGGGGTCCTCATAATAAGGATCCTACTCCTTGGGGAACTCTATTAGGGTCCCCTATCTTAGGAATCTCCCGAATGTGTCAGAGTCGAGACCTAAACCCTAGACCCCTAAACCCTACACCCTAAACCCTAGGAAAAAAACCCTAAACCCCTAGACCCTAAACTCTAAACCTTAAATCCTAAACCCTTCCTTCTCTGAAGGGCCTGTCTGGGGTGCTTCGGCCGCCCAACGCCTCGGCCTGCACCACTGCCCGGTGCGAGAGAGGGTGGAGAGCTTTAGGGGGGATGTTTTCTTGATCAAATGAAGGTCCGTGGGTTTAAGGATGGTTCGAAGTTGTTGAAGGTTTTTGTAGGGCGTAGGCTTCACGACTTATATATGTCCGTTCGAGCGGCGTGAAGGGCTTCAAGAGACTAAATGATTCTAGTCTAGAGTTGAAACGGTTTGCCTCGGGGCCGTAGGCTTTCAGAGATGCTGGTTTCTGCACGATCCGATGAATTTGAGAAGCGCAGCAACCATGTGGAGGAACACCGTGCATGTATTATGGTTTGTGATTATAACAACCCACATTCCGAAGGATGCTTTGCAAGGTTGAGTTGATAGCAAGACGCAGTATCCTAGCCTCCCCCTGTGCATCGCACAAACCGCCAACACACCTTGATCCCAAAGTTCTTTGTCGACGAGGAGTTTCGAGAAAGCGTTGTTTACGTACAGTATATAGATGACGAAGCAGAAGTAGAGCTCATAGAAGCAGCGGTAGTACTAACGAACACTAGCAGCAAAGGCTTCACCGAATCCCAATGCCTTCATGGCTGTAGCGATGGTAGCCACTGCGACCGGGTAACAGCAAGTAACTTGCTGCTGGCTTCTTTGTTCTTAGTACACCCTAAACCCTGAATATATATATATATATATATATAGATATGTATATGTAGCAAAGATATCTGTATGTGTATATACAATTGTATGTATCGAGAGATAGATAGATAGATATGTAAGTAAATACGTTCCCTAAATGGTTTTTGCCGAAATTTGTCCGAGTAGGCAGCTGCTATACCGGCAGAGCTGAAGGCAGGGAGCCAAGAGCCTCAGGGCTTTTAGAATCGAGGATCGAGAGTTTAGGCTCTGGGCTCTTTTCAAAATTGCCTGGACCCCATAAGTATGTAGAAGGATAGCCTTTTATAGGTGTTGGGCCATTATTTCACATACTTTTGGGGGCCTAGGTGGGCTGTTAGAGTTTCAGGGTTTTGAAGATTCTTCGAAATTTAGGGTTTTGGATTTCGGGGCAGTGGGGCGTACCAATGAAGCACCGCCGAAGCAAGGTATGTTAACATTCTAGGAGTGGCAGGGGCAACGGCGATTTTACGGATACTCGTGCCAGCAGATTCAGATGCAGTGACATTTGATACATCATTAGCAGCAGAAGTCTTGTTTATGCGGGGATGGTAGAGCATACCCGAACGCTTCCGTAACAGTTCGTGGCACAGGTCGTCTGTTCTGCGAACGATTTCGTATAGCTTGCATAATGGGGGAGTTTGCCAGCTCGTTTGGTTCGCGCCGTTGAGCTGCACACGAGGGCGGAGGGTTGGATGTTGCTGATCGGTCTTAACAGACAGGAATCCCTGACCCAAGGACGGCGATTACACAAGGCTCTATAAGACCCGCATGCAAGCGGATCAGAGGAATCCTGGACGAGGGGCAGACATAAAAAGGAGATCAAACATCAGAACCTCGAAGCGAGTGTAGGTTTCCCCCTGATCAGCAGTTTCGCATTACCATATAGCCAGGCGGCCTTCGCCGAAGTTCCAAAACCTGTAAAACCCATACTCTCTTCCGAGGCCTTCAAATCCTAACCCCAAAACCCCAGACGACCCAACACACCGAAATCCGAAGCCTAAGCTCCAAAAACTCTTCTCCGAAACCCTGAACCTCGAACCCGAAAAACAAAAACAAACTACACCCCAATTAATCCCAAACCCACGCCATGCTGGCCTTGTGCGAGTTGGTGTGTGTGTGTGTGTGTCGTCTCGAAACCAAGACCCAAAACCTAAGCTCCAAAATCTCTTCCCCGAGGCCTTCCTTCAGGAGGAGCCGAGAGTGGGGGCCTGGTTGCAGGCGAAGCTAAGGCCCGGTGGAACATACGCATAGGCTCCATAGTAGTTCCTTTTTGGGATTACCTTACAGGATTCTAAATATCATCCCCAAAAAGGACTTACTATGGAGCCTCTAGGTAGGTCCAGTAGCAGAATAGGGAACCTTTAACCTGTTTTGGGGTAGTGTAGTCCCTGTATAATCCCTATATAACCGAAAAGGTTAACCTTTGGTTTCCCATGATACCCGACAAGTAGGTAGGGGCCTTAATGATTAGAATAGGGTTCGATTTTAGTATCATTTTGTGTAGTAATTAACAACCACCAGAAGAAGAGCATACATTATAGATCTTAACGTCAGAAGACCATAGCGTGACTGTTTGATCATGGTCTAATTAGGAACCCCACAGCAGTAGCGTTGATTATTATTCATGCTGCTACAGTAACCGGTTTCATCGGCATCGGCTGTGGGGTTTGAGGGTTTGGCGCTGTAAGGTTTTAGGGTTTCTAATGGGGTCTTAGGGCTTAGCGCTTCAGAGTTTAGTATTTAGGGTTTATGTAGGCTTTGGGGGCAAGTTAATTAGTGCATTTGTGTCTTGAGTGCTGAAACCCCTAGTTTTTTGTCGACACCCGCATACCGAAGACCAGAGCGCTTGAGGATCTTCGTACGGAGCGCTCTACACATACAGTGTGTATATACACACATGTACATACATACATACATGCACGTACATATACTTTTATGTGTATATCCATATAAACATATATGTATATACATATATAAGTGGGCGTGCCACACAACAGAGGTGGATTCGTTACAGTTGCTTGAACATCGGTTCTAGAAACTTTGGTCCTATAGGGCCCCGGCTTCTTTCTACACTGCCATCTCTGCGGCAGGTTCGCCTCGAGCCAAGAGTCGGGCGTGGAGGACCCAAAGGGTCCTAAGTACCGATATGGTAGAATGTAGGGTTTCTATATTAGGAATTACTACTATGACTTAGGGAAGTATTCCCCATACCAGTACATAGGACCCTTTGGAGGAGGCACCAGTCACACTTGCTTGCTTAGGTAAGTTAGACATGTAAGCATGTGGAAGCAACCTTTGGTCGTGTGAGTCTTGTCGAACAAGCGGTAGTATATCCGGGGTGGGATATATCAACATAAATATATATACACACACTTAGAGAGCCGAATAACTAGTAGTAATGTTCCGCTGTAGTCCCGACAGGAGGTAAACTAGAGTATACCCCAGAAACAGCCCGTTCTAAGTATTGAGTCCTCTGTATTCGGCGATGGTGTGGTATGCATTTCCCCCCGACACCCCAAAATGCCAATGAGACTGAGAGCCTTCTCTGAGTTCTCCAGTACCTCATGAGGCACTGAGTTGTAGCACGTTATTTGGGCAGCCAATCTTAGAACAGAGCCCCATAATACCAACATTAGGCAACCAATATTCGGGTCTAAAGCGGAGGCCCTAATCCCATCCCTGCAGTTTGTGGAATGGAGAGTTTTTTTGCAATGAGCTCTATGATCATGTTGGGCTTTGTCGTTCTACGAATCCTGTGGATTCGTTATATGATGGGTACATGAATGCTGCGCCAGATGGCTTCCGCGAACAGTTTAATTTAATCACCAGAAGCAGAAAGTGGTCCTTTTACCATACGCAAAGCAGCCTTGCTTGGCAGGGCTTAAGTACATAATCAAAACTGAGGGGGGGGGGGGGGTGGGCAAGCGAGAATGTGTGCGGGAGAAGTTCTTGGAGGTCTTCCGCCGAGAATAACATTCACACTACTACGATGACATTATTCAATAGTGTTGCTACAGGTACTAAGTATCAGTGTCATTATTGTTATTGTTCGTATTCGCGATTATTATTTTCATTGCTGTTCCTGTCGGAGGTTCTCCAGCATACCGCCGAAGACGGCGATCCGGCGGATCACCGGTCCGCTCTGCTGGAGGCGGGTAAAGGAGCTTCATGCTTCGGGCTCTTCTGATTTCTCTCGCATTGGGTTCTGTAGGGTTTCGTAAAGTTCTGGGCCAATTAGGAAGGAAGGAGCTTAGGACATAGGGTTCAGGATTCAGGGCGAGAATAGCCTGCTGAAAAAAGGGGGCTTCGTCCTCCGCCTGCTTCAGAACTTGTGTGGGTTGCGGACTTTGGGGGCTTCGCTCAGTCTTTCGCCTTCTTCTTCACGTCAGGGTTTAGAGCTGTAGCTAGTTTGTGCACTGCAGCCCCAGCCCAATGTTTTAGTTTGCAAAAGTGGCCTGACCAAGGCAAGACATGCACGAGCACTCCCTTGGGAATGATTCGTTTGATCTGCCATTTTTTCCACGCCCATGTCTTTCTCCTTCTCTCTAGAGCGTATGTCCGTCGCTTTGTCTATCCTTTTTCTCCTGCGTTACATAAACAGATGGTTAACATGTGTATATATATACATTAATGATAACTGTATATATGATGCATGTATTCGTACATGTTTATCTATGTCACTTCATATACATACCCAGGCATGAAGACACGCAGCCATACGTTTGTCCATGCACCTGGACACATGTAAGTTTCGAAACACTAGGATCCTCATGACAAGTCCAATGACCAATGATAAGTTCTTTTGAGTACGTCACCCCGTACCTTCACGCAGCCATATCACACCTTCACAATCCTGCTACCCCTCAGCATGATCTCAAATTCTGCAAAAAACAGCCCTACACCGAGTCCCCTCCCTTCCCAGGCGGCTGAGATTGACGAGGGAAGCTCCGAGGAGGAGCAAAGCCAGGAAGACGTAGGCGAAGGCCACGTCCACCGGCTTTGGGGGTTTAGGGTTTAGGGGGCCAGCTGATAACACAGAGCCTGGGTTCAAAAAAAGGGGTGCTGTAGAGACTGCCTTTAGATAACATTTACATGTCTTGTCAAGTTCTGATCAGGGTTTCTGAGGGCTATTACAAGTATGAAGGCTTAACAAGAACGCTTGCTTAGAAGGGCAGGGGCTTAGGAGCTCACTGTGTTCTGAGACATATGCCGTTGGTCATCCCCTACCTATATGGGAGTTTCCGAAAATTCGGGGTACCTTGTTTTGGGGTCCTTATAACATGGATCCTACTATTAAGGTACTGTACTGTACTTGGGTCCCCGATGTTCGGAAACTCCCATGAATGTCTGAATGCCATGAACCCTACATGTTGAACCCTGAATGTTGAATGGCAGCATCTACAAAGCAGACAGGCAGGAGGGTGGAAGATTCTCCGACAACCGAAAAGCAAATGAAGGATATCCGAAATCCCTAAACCGCAGAGACGACGAAGCCCTAAACAAGTTTGACCTCAGTTGTATAGTGCGAGTGCGCGGGGTTTAGGGTTTAGCGAAACCCCAAACAAAACTGGCTCAGCTTTCCGAGCAGGCAGTGCAGCAGCTGACTCCCCTGGTCCGCTCCTGGCACCGGGGCCGCGTTTGGGATACGAGACTCAAGAAAGACTTCCGAAAACCTATATCCGTCCGAAACATATTCGTTCAAAACATTATGACATGACATGCCCGAACCCCAGCTCCAATACATTGGGGATAGCTGCTGTTTTGCTCGAGGGCAGTTGACACTTCACTTGCAGGATATCAAGTGATGCTGCGTGAAAACATGCAGTACGGCTGCTAACGAATCCAAAGGAATCGGGAATGAGCCCCTAAAGCCCAATATAGGGGTCTGAATATTACAGAATCGGGATTTTCGGCCCATTATACAATAAGGACCCCCCCTCCCAAAAAAAAATAGGATAGATGAATATAACGGCCCCTATATTACAGCCTAAACCTTCACAAGATGAAGCGGCAGTTGCATTGTTTACCGAAGTGAGGGATTTCATGGAGGCCTAGCCCTCGAGTACCCATAGGCCCCAAAGTAGTTCCTTTTTGGGATTACCTTATAGGGTTTTATATATGAACCGCAAAAAGGAATTACTTGGGGGCCTTAGGGTAAAATAGACTAGAACTCAACTTCTTGGGTCTATCGAACCCACGCAGCTGTATGTCAACCTACACCCTTAACACTGGAACCCCTTTTCAAAAAGCTGCGTCAAAGTAGATAGGCCGAATACTACTCCTGATCTCAGGCAGCACGTGACAAGATGACCCTTCACGCAGACTTCCAGGTGTTGAACAGGCGTGCAGCCATCAATGCGTCGACGAATGTTTGCATTTTTAAGAAAGAGGGAGATGTCGGATTTAGAGATTCCAGATAGATAAACGGGATATGACGTCTGACGTTTTGATACGCATGTGCATAGGTGGATGGATGGATTGATGCATGTGCAATTAAAAACGGGTGGGCAGGTATGCAGGTAGGGTGGCGACAGGCAGGCAGGGAGGTAGGCTGGTAGGTGGGTAGGTCGGTACTAGAATCTAGCACAGATGCATGCGTACCGGCATGCATGCGAATGTTTCCGTTCGCAGAAGCATGGAAACGTCGGGCGTCGGCTTCTCGAGACCAAGGTCTCCACCTACACTTGCGTTGCAGACCCTGCGCAAGCAAGGTCTGCCATCACTGTAGCAGATAGTAACTCAGGTACTAGCAGATAGCACACAGAGACACACACACACACGCACGTGTTTCCCGCATTTTATTTGCATTCCGAGAGCTGATAGCTGTGGTTTCGGCATAACCTTTCCAGGTAAATGTCGTCAGACATGGAGACTCGAGTATACTCCATGTCTCCGAAGTAGCTGACCACCTGAACCCTACCTATACACCATTGAACACTTGCGGGACCACGGAAGCAGAATGAAGCCACAGAGTCCAGCAGACATTGCAGAAATATGCCCCGGCACTTAAACAAAGTCGATGATATGGACTAGTGGCTATTATGTTAATCGTAATGTCGAAATAGAAACAACAGGCCGTCGAGTGTAGAGATAGGAAGCAGTGAGACTTTGGCAGCATGCTACCCAAAGAAGGCTGGCCAAAGAGCTTGCAGCGAGAGCTGAAAGCCCTGACGACGTCTCGGGCAAGGCCCGGGAACTGTTACTGATGCTGTCTGCGGATGCACGATACGGACTGCGATGATCATGGTGGTAATTGGCGTCTCGATGTTGGTGACGACAACCCAACCGTTACGACAACTAACAGAGTCCAGGGCTGCTTGTTGCACATGCTGGCTTCCCAGAGGTTGTTTTGTGTTGTCGAAGGTTGTGGAAAGAGACCCCCCCCTCATTTCCGTCCGTTAGATTGAGCTGTTTTGGTATTCGTGTTGATTCAGCAGCAGCAGCAAGAGCAGCAGCAATAGCGGGCAACGCTTCTTCCCGTACGTCAGTCTGCCAGAGTGAGCTCTATTGGCTCTATTCATGCTGATGTTATCTTTCAATACCTCTTGGTTTTGTCTTTGACGTGCCATTCAATCGCCCGTAGATCGCAATGTATAGCCGGCAACAGTTTCATAACTGGCCCTGGGCTTTCTCAAGATGGCAACAGTGCAGTGCTTAAAGAGTGGTTTCGAGATGAGGTGGATTGATAAAACAGAGAGCTCCGGGCTCCGGGCTAAACGGAAAGAAGAGGTCTAAGTTGTGCAGAACTTACCGTTGGTTGGTAGGGAATGGAGGAATGGTAGTGATAGTAGTTATTAGTTGTACCCCATTCCTCCATTCCCTACTAACCAAAGGTAACAGAATCCAAGGGCGAAAGGAGGGACCCTTAATAAGGACCCCTAGGTATATACCCTTTAATATAGCTATTATATACCCATTATATAGCGCATTGTAGGGCAGGAGTCCCCATCAAGGGTCCCTCCTTTTCCCCTTTGAGAGAAAGCTCCCCCCATGGTTCCTTCGGCCTCGAGCTACAGGTCTTCCTCTACGTCAAACAGGCTCCACGGTTATCCGGCCACTCCGGCTGTGACAATGTAGGGGAGAGAAATAATTCCCAATTTACTATGTTTGGGGGGTTCCAATTACAAGATTTATAGTATGATGTATCCTCAAGTCCTATTCTAATTAATAAGGCCCGCCCCTATAGTATTCACCTGGCTGCAGGCAAGGGTTGAGGTTCCGAAAGCGTCAGGCTTACTGAACACGGTTGAGGTTTAGAGACTCATTGCTGCAAGTAGTTTGTGTTCAAGCCTGGCACTCTCTGGACTGCTAGTCTTGCAGAAAGCCCCGTTCAGTATTCAACTCCGCAGCATCGCACTTTTCCCCACGTGGATTTCACAGCCCGCATATGCATGTACTGCAGGTCCTCCTTCGGCCGTACTCAGACATGCAGGCACCCACACCTGCACCCGGGTTTCGGTCCGAAGATAATGGCATCCGTGTCGACCTGCCCGGGCTCAGCAAAACCGGCTCTGTAGATGCCGTAATACCAAAATGCGAAGCAATGTAACGGACTTGAATGAACATAATGGAGCATCCAAGTCTGATCCATGAGCACCTGACAGTGGAAACTCGGAACCCCTTTTCACATTTCAGCAAAGGTCAGTCTTCTGAACCTTCCGGCAACACACATATGAAGCACTTCGCAGACTGATCCAAACTGTTTATCCCTGCATGGTGCACCTGGTGGTGCAGGGTGCATACTTCAAAGAGCTCTGGTGCTATGACGCTATGATGCAGTCTTCAAAGCGGACTACGAGTCCTGACGCTCAAAGGCTTAAACCTAATAGACCCCTCATGGTCTACGACATTCTACGACCCCCCCCCAAAGTATAGAACCCCAAAACCCTGACCCCCGAGCCTCCTTAAACAGCCGATCATGCAAAGTCCGCCCTCGAAGCTGCACTCAGGTCTTGGGGCAATGCGACAGCTTCGCAGCCTATGGCCAGGGCTATCCTTAGAGGCAGGGAGAGACACCGGGGTATAATTGCCTATACTGCTTTGGGGGTGCCTTATTACAATTATAGTATAATGGGCCGCAACACCCTATTCTACTTATTAAGGCCCCTATATTATACTACCCTTATAGTAGCCCTTGCAGACACCTTTAAAGGAACCCTAGTCTAATTCCTGCGCCTATATTACTTGGAAAGGGCTTGGTCTATGGGACTTCATGGTCCTGGGAAGTCAGAGGGCTGAACTGAACTTACCTTGGGTTAGTAGGGAATGGTGGAACGGTAGTAATAGTAGATATAATTTTTACCCCATTCCTCCATTCCCTATGAACCAAAGGTAAGCGAAGGGCAAGCCCAGTCTCAAGATGGCTTGAGATGGGCTTCGGGTTTGGGACTTTGAAACTGGCGCTTAGATCCTCAAAACTGTCAGGAAGTTTGGGATGCAGCGATTTGGGCAATCTGAACAACCCCTGTGCCGGAACTCGCGCTATGCACAGCCATTTTATCATTGAAGTGCGGGTACTCAGGCCACTTTATCCGGGCCCTGTTGGGCTTAAGTTTGTTGCCGATCTTGTTCGGCTTACATTGGCTTAGTTCAGGGAGTTATGGATAATTAGCTTAGATAATACTGCAGTGCATGGCTCTTGTTAGAGGAAATTATTCACCCCGGGATGCTTGAACCCCACAACAGTACTTGTCAGCCCTGTGCCCTACGGCCGCGGCTTTGATCGCCATAGTTACCCCTAGTTACCCCTATTTACCCCTAGTCCAACGCATGAAACCAAGAGCCCTTTTCTGTCTACAGCCGAAGCCCACAGCCCTTCAGCAAGAGGTCAGCTTCGGGCGTGCGCCGGGGCTCAAGGGGTGGATCCCCGGGGCATCCCCGAATGCGGAAGAGGAAGGTCGAGGCCTTTGATGAGGAATTAGTGATTAGTGAGAGCCTTGGAGGTGTTTTGTCCTAGTAAAAAAGGGCCGTTGTAAGTGTTTGAGGGCCTTTGGGTCGAGTCGCAGGATGCAGCGGGACACAAAGCCACCGTCAGAGACCATTCCAAGAGGGTTGTTGACTGAGAGATAGTCCGGGCTTCGCTGAGCCCGGTATTATGTTTTTTTGGTGGTGCGCCTGCAGTTCAGGAGAAGCAGCAATGGCGAGAGCAATAACATCTGCAGTTTAACCCAGCACGATAATATACCCTTAAGATAGGTGTTAATGGCGGCGAGAGGAATCACAATAGCTTTGTTTACACATAGTTACATATAATGCCTAATATATGCACATTTCATGTTTGTTAAAACTCGCGATTTCTGATTGATGCATTTATGTGTTGTATAGCTCTTGCCATGAACTTCATGATGCATATCTGATCTATCTGTTTACTGATCTAAGAAGCCGCAATCGCAAAACCCCAAAGTCCCTAAACCCCAGGCTGTCGAAGCCCCAACTTCAAGCTCCATGCTTGGGTTCTTGTAATTTCTGTGCTCTTCGGAGACTTTCAGCTTCGATCATCTGCCTCAGCGGCTGGTGGCTGCAGCTCAAGCGGTAGTCGTGTTCGTCGAGCGTCGCAGCCATGGCTCGCACGAAGCGCACTGTGTGCCCTTCGACGGAGACTCCGCGAAAGAGGATGGCCTCGGATCTGCAAGAGCTTTCAGTCCATGTCCGCTTCGCAGCCTCCGGTGAGACCCTGGTAACTGTGCGCTTGAGGCCGCAGATGGTGGTCGCCGAAGTGCGGGAGAATGTCAACCGATCGCTTGACCTTGGGCTCGTCGCTACGTCTTTGCTCCACGGTGCCGGCATCCTCTCGGAGTCCGCGCGGCTCGGGGATTTGACGGAAGGCAGCATGGAGGTCACCCTAGATGCAGTGGTCAGGCTGGAGAGCGCAGCGTTGTGTATGTCCCAACCCTGCACAGCTGGCGACTTGCTGAACATCGTGAGGGAAGCGGATCGCCAGAGGCGCCACTGCGACATGTCCAGGGCCCCTTCAGCTGCCAAGGCTGTGGCAGAATCCCTGACAGCAGCTGCACCAGATCCTGGGTTGTCCTTTGGGATCTTTTTTGATTTCCCTTACTAACCCTACTATTTTGTAGAGAACCATTATAGTAAATAATTCTGGAAGGGGCCTAAAGGACAACTCAGGATCTGGAGAGCATTCAGATGATCGGTGGCAGCAATGAGAGCGGAGATGGCGGGCAGGTCATCGTCATCGCGAACCCTGGGCGCGACGCTCTCTGGGCATGCCGGAAGGCCTTGGCCATAGTTGATGAACTTCCAAATGAGGAGGGGGAGGAGGAGGAGGATGAAGATGAAGAGCAGGAACAGGAGGAGATTCCTCAGCTATTGCGCCTGCAAAAGCAGATCCCCGGAAGACTGCAGCACCTGCGCTTCCAGGATCGGTTGGAGGTGGGATTCAACAGGGACGACTGCGACGAATGCGGGGAAGAGGAACGAGTCGAGTCACAGCTTCAGGCAGCCACCCAGATCATGTGCGACAAGCTCTCAAAGCATTTCAAGTCCTTCAATCAATCTTACGGAGGTTTTTGTTGGTAAAATCGTTTTGTTGTTTCTTTGGCGGAGAACTTTTGTAATAAGGAGAGCCCCTCCCCGCTTCATAAACCCATTCCTTTCCATTTCCTTCGCTTGCGTGGCCCAGGTTCCACTTCGATGGGCCTGGCAAAAAGCCGGTGATCTTCGGTGGCTTCTGCGAGGATGGAAGCATCGTCGGGGTCTTGACGAGCCGCGTTTACACATGAGCTGCCTGAGGACTCCGCGAAGACAACATGACTAGATCATGCATAGTCTGATACTCTCCTGAGATCCTCACACATCCGGAGATCCTAATATGAGAGACTGCTGCATATAGAAGTTAATACATGCCCAATAACTCCCTGGGCCTTAGGGAGCTCATGGAATGCTGTGCAGCTCGCGTGTGCCGAAAGTTCACAACATGTCGACGGCCACCTCCCCAGTCCTCTCCATCTTTAGGTTCTATGGGAGTTTCCGAAAATGGGGGGCCCCACTATAGGACCCTAAGTAGTAGCCCACCCTTCAATCCAAGCTGTGAGCCGTGAACCTCCCAAGCCTATGGGCAGACTTTGGCCAGCGGTGATGTACAGAGCACCTGTCGGGCCGAAATTGGAAAACCATGCTGCAAAGCAGATTAGATTACATTTTCAATATATCATATACTAGCATATCATATACACAAACAAGGACAACAACAACAGCAACACCACCAAGACCAAGACAAGGACCAAGACCCGCCACCACCGACACCAACACCGCCACGACCACCACTACTACCACCACCAGCAGCATCACCACCAGCACCAGCACCAACCAAGGCAACATCAACAACAACAACAACAACACAACAGATATCAACAGTACCAACGATACTCAACATGTCAAAATTACTACTAATGACGTTGGCAAGAGACATGCTACGACGAGTAGTATTGATACCAGTCACCTACTAGTCATAACCCGGATCATATACTAAACCATAGCAGTCATACTAATGAAATTTGCGTTACATAGGTTTAACAGTAACAATAACAACAACACTCAACAGAAGAATAATGAACATAATATTAATTAATAATGTACTATAAGAGTAATGGTAATGATATGATGCATCTTGGTAGCTGTAACAGTAAAGCAACTGCGATTGTGTTGCTGTTGGCGTGGAATCTTGAGCATGATTGACAGCACGGCTTACTAGGTGATGCCTACCTGGTGAGCTATCACGGCTTGAATGTTGTTGGAACCCGTATTGCTGCAGACCTCGCCAGGCTTGTCCGAGTGTGAGTGTCAAAAACTTTGTAAATGAGCCTATGGCAGCTGTGAGGCAACGAGCGAGAAAAACTTGTAAGCCGAGCAAGGAAGAACATCAATATTATCACAGGCAGTAGATACAACAGTATTCATGTCAGTAAGTGCGCAGTGTGCTTTTCATCGGGCATTAGCAGCAACATTTGAGAACTCTCTTCTATACAGATCCCGGAGTCGGGGGAAATCCGAAAGCCTCAACCCTAAACCGACGTTGTTCAGCTAAGCGGGTGGCAGAAAAAAACAAATCAAACCGCGGCTCATTCGGTCCAGATACCTGGATGGGCAGGGGACTTAGTAAGTAGGTTATAAGTAGAGTTATAAGTACCCTAATGGAGTTACCTGTGTGTCGCTGCTGCTGATGGACAAAATCCTGCATTACCCATTATAAGGAATATACCATAGTTCCCATAGTTTAGAGTCCTTAGGGTCATGCAGGATTTTGTCCATCAACAGCTGTCGCTGCGAGGCAACGCGACCTCGGAGGACTCCGCTTCTCAGCCGAGCATCGAGCTCAAGGCGATCTCAGATCTCCGGACTAATCTGATGTTAAGCGCTCAACCATATGGCGACATATATGCATGTTGATAATAAAAACAAATAAGTCTGTACATATATATATATAGAGATGTATGTTTTGAAGTATATACATACACTCATATACACCGACTCACGCATGCATCGCTGCATGGATGTGTACGACTTGTATGTATGTGTATGGCCTGCGTGTCTGTCATATCTGTCTGAGACTGAGCCCGGTCCTGAGCCCTAAACCCCCATCCGCCCCAAACCCTTTCTGGCACCAGCCATCTGAACCGTCTCGCCAAGGCTTGTCCGAGAGTGAGTGCGGAAATCCCCTAAACCCTTACGAGGCCCAGAAGTCGTGAATTCCAGCCGCCCCGCCCCACCGCCCAACCTCACCGGACATTAACTCCCCTAATTAAGCCTGACGGATCACCTCCAAAGTTGGGGCACATTTGCGCCGTTTGCTGTCTTTATACTCTGTATCCTATTCATGACTTTCAGACTTTTGGGGCCCGCAGTCGGAGTTCTGAAGTTTTTGAAGCGCGAGCCGCGAGCCTCGACCTCGCCGGTGCAGAGGAGGCCATCATCCGATTCCTCGAATCCTCACCTGCCGGGCAGACATCGGCGACAGCGGCTCTGCTTAACTTTCAGGTTTAAGGTTGCTAATCACTGTGAGCTTCGAAGAATGACGGAGGTTCAGCGTTCGTGCTGTGCCTCCTGATATTCTGGCCTGCGAGTTCGTGCCCTTGCATTGCGAGACTCTTGATGATGGCACGGCAGAGAGAGAGAGAGAGAGAGAGAGAATCCTCCCGTCCCCATGTTGTGACATTCTGCCGCAAATAACTCATCCTGTTCTACAAGCAGTTGGTTGATGTCCGCGCGTGCGTGCGCGGGAAAGCAGGCAAACATGGCACACCTGGGCTCAGGATTTCAAGTTATTTCTACCTCAGAGAGGAACCCGAACCATTACTAGTCTCATCCACCAATGCTAAGTACGTCGACATCTTCAATTATGCTTCACCGAAGACCCATTTGTTCAGGCCCGTCGACCTGCATCTCAATACCACGTAATGATGGGACTTGGTATATATCGCTAGCCCCTTCCTTCTTGACATCGAGCCAGAGACCCAACGAGAGTCGTTTCATGAAGGCCTTTGTAACAGCCTTCCTGGTCGGTGCGTGCGATTGCCATGATCTGCTCCATGTCTCCAATGTCTCCGATGGAAAAACACATCAGCCCGCTATTCTGCCGGTCCTCGGAGCGAGGGCTTTGGAACCCCTATGACTTGTAACTTTCAGGCAGCACCTGTTGCTCTTGTCGGGACGGATCCTCGGGTACGGGAGCGGCTGGGTCGCACGTCAAAGCGAAGGCATCAGGTGTTTTTGTGTAGAAGAAGGCTTCTTTTTTTTGTTGGCAGGAGGGCTAAAATAATCAGGGCAATTGGGGGGGGTTTTGGATGGTGGGTTGATGGCTTTTCTCTTGGGACAGTTGTGCTTACTGCATGCGCAACGACTGCAGAAAGACGGAACATCCCAATCGATGTACAAACTCAATCCTTTTATACATCACATTATACATTACATAGACACACACACACACACACAAGCATCCACGCATACCATAAGTGTGGTAATTGTTTGCACGGCGCATGTTTTGATGTCAATGTAGGAAAGATGTAGAGCCTAATTTAATCTTCCTTGGAACAACAAGCCCCACCTGGCTCCAACTCCTTGACTCAGGTTGTGGAAGCAGGTCTGCTCAACTGGAGTGCGCCCGTCGGGTAAGGGAACGCCCCGAAAGAAGCGCGAATCTCGGATGCACGCAGTCCGGGTAGCAGCAGAAACAGCCGTGGTTTGTGGCAGTAGGAGCAGTATTGGTAGAGATGGTCGTCCTCGTCGCAGTAGTACTAGTAGTAAGCAGTAGCAGTAGCAGTAGCAGTAGCAGTAGCAGTAGCAGTAGTAGTCGTAGTCGTAGTCGTAGTCGTAGTGGTAGTGGTAGTGGTAGTGGTAGTGGTAGTGGTAGTGGTAGTGGTAGTGGTAGTAGTAGTTGTTCTCGCGATATGGTGGTATGGATGTGGTACAGACAACGGTAGTGGTCGTGGTAGCAGCAGTAGCAGCTACAGTGCTACAGCATTAGCAGCAGCAAACGCGCAGCTGCTATCACCAACCTGGCCAGGAGCAGCCGGATCAAGCATCTGATCACGGGGACGCTTAGTGCCAACTTCCGATGCTGCGATGCAAAGCCAAAGAAGCAGCAGCAGTGGGAGCAGGAGCAGTAGCAATTAGTAGTAGAGGTACAGTAGTAGCAGCAATGGTAGCGGCAGCAGCAGTACTCAACACCGACCTATAACTTGCATGATGTGTGTGATCCTTGTGGACCCGATACCAAGGCCTGGAACACTATGGAAACCCTGAATGCCAGTGGTTCAGATGCCTGAGTCCTCCTTCTTCAAGCCCTGTTAAAGGTTCAGAGCTTTGGGGAGAGGGATGCAGATCAGAGAATGTGCTTTGCTGCGTTGTATAAGTACATGGAACCTCTAGAATTAGCATATAGAGGAGCCCTCTGGAGCCATTTCTATGGTAGTTGTGGCTCTAAAGCTTCCTTCAAAGGCGAAGGCCCTCGCTTTGAGAATCTCAGGAGTGGCAGGACAAGCTCAAGTACTTCATCGCGCACCGCTATGAGAGCTTTTGCCTGGAAGAAGGTACCAAGGGTTCAGGGTTGACATGGTTCAGGGATGTTGTTGGTGGGTAGTTGTCAAAATTATGGTCCTTTTTGGGTCCCTAATATAGTACGGCACCCATTATTTGGGATACCCAAAAAGGGACCCTAATTTCGACAACCACCCTGGCAATGCCTTGCCGGCTGTCGTATCTGGGAGCCTCTCAGGAGTTACAAGGACTGGGCTCGGTTTTTTGTTTCATGCTCACAGATGCCTGATGAAATCTCGAGAGAAACAGACAAGAACGACGAATCTACTTCAGAGGCATAATTGCCAATACTACTTTGGGGGCCCCTTATTATATAATTATAGTTTAATGAGCCCCAAAACCCGGTTCTACTTATCAAGACCCCTATATTGCTATGAGTCAGGCTTCGTGTTACTTGCTTCCGTATTTGGTGGAAGCCTTGGGCCCGGAAGAGTTCCAAAACCTCAAACTCCGGAATCCGCAGGCCCCGAATTTGCTCGAATTCCCCAAACCATCCTAGGAAATCCTTAAGCCTGAAATCCCCTAAACTCGTTAGGAAAAACTCTGATTAATTATCCCCCCCCCCCATCAAACTCTCAAGGTTTCCTTTCGGCCACACTCTCAGCCGTACCCTGAAGTTGATCCTCTGCCCTGGTTCGTGTGACTAAGAAGTAGTCCTGACGGTAGTGACAGAAGTCCACAACTCGGTTATGCTGCGCCTTAGGATTTCTGTTCGGATTGATGGTTTGGGTTTGTTAGTGGGCTGTCATGCCTTTTTATGCGCCGTCAATCAGTCTTCTCGGTCTTCTCTTTAGTTTCACCTAATCGGTTTATTGACACCTGCCTCGCATTCTTGTCCGAGTTGTCAGCGCCGGACCCCCAATTAAACCCCAAACTCCCAGAGCCCGTAAACAGAAGGAGCCGGCTCCCAAACCTGGGTGAGGCTGCGCCGACCGGAGGAGCTGACATGTCAACCGTTGTTGAAGGTTTTTTGAGAAGGGTTCGATCGGGTCTTGCAGGGGGTTTGTGCCGTTTATGGTACAAGAGGGTTATCTTCTGTGTCCATAGGGTTGAGAACTCCAAACAACCAGTCCAAAGACACAACTGGAAGCCCCCAAAGTATGTTTTCCCAGCGCACCGCTGGCAAGTCCACAGCAACCAGTCGTGTTGGGCCCTCTTGATCAGGCCTCACTTCGGTCGGAATGGCATCCGGAACCGTGCTGGCACAGTCTGGTACGACCTCGCCGGGGAAGGTCCGATCTGTCTGAAACCGACAGGACCAGCAGGGCCTCTCTGGAGGGCGGCGACCGGCCACCGCAGATCACGATGAAGAATCACGCGCAGTGTCCTGTCACGCTCTTGAAGCGGTCTTGTCCGTGAAATGGCCTTTGTCGCCAGCAGCTGTCCCAAGCTGCCATGCTACAGCGGCAACGTCGTGAGCACGCCTGCGCAGCCGACACGTTGCGGTGGTGCCGCAGTCAGGCCATCTGATAATCTGGGAACACTGCATCATGCGGCCCTCTGCAACTGCAGCCCACATCGCACGGCCGAGAGTCTTGGCCGAAACCTGCGAAAGGATCGATAACTCGGCGTGGAAATCGAGGAACAGGGATCTGTGAAGGAGCTCTGCATGATTTCTTGCGCCACATTGCTCGCCGGAAAAACCAGGCTTTGGAGAGTTTCTGAAATTCAGAGATGTGAAATCTCGATGATTTGTTCGGGTTTGTGGAGCCAGGTCCAGGCATGGATGCGGAGGAAAGGCTGATACTATTGATTATGTATTGTTGTTGTCGTGATTGTTATATAATCTATGATTTTTACTAATATTCTTTTTACTCGTGTTATTGGATAATAGGCTGCGGGATGCGGTAGAAGGCCTAGGGGCTTCCACCCCAATGCTTCGAGGATGAGGGGGTTGGGATTTAGGGCTTAGGGTTTAGGGTTTAAGGTTTAGGGCTAAGCGATTTAAACGCATCCGAGCAGTTGCAGGACCCGGCGGCGCGCGATGAAGATTTCGGCAAGCTGCAGCTCGCGATAAAGCGGACCGGTCTTTTGAGTTGACGTGTTGCAGCATGTATTTCGCATGACTTAGTAGCTGAGTGTAATTATACACTTTATACACTTTCTGGGGTAATATCACCCACTATAAAACCAAAAGTTTACACCCTTTGGGGCTTCTGCACTCAAGCTAACTAAGATGGCTGGGGTTCATGAGATTTCTTGCCGGACGCAGGCCTCGCAGGACTTTTCAGAAGCAACCATACTTGCATATTTCTTGGTACCTGTTCCTTATAAAAGTCTATAACTACTTTTTCCCCCTGCTTACTTCAAAGTCCAGGAAAAGATGCGACGACTATGGGCCTGAACTATTTCAAACCCATCCGGAGGACGATGCTGGAGCTCCTCCAGAGTGGAAAAGTGAGTCGGGACGATCGAGGTGCTTTGGGGGGGGGGGGGGGGGTTCTTGGCGAGTGTTGGCCCTGTGCTTTCAGCTATGGGTCCATGTTAACTTATACTTCGATATCTATGCATGGTTCATGAAGTCTTGTCTTATCCTGATACTTTCTGTGCAACCGGGGATGCATGTCAAAAGACAACAAGCCGTCGAAGCAGACAGGAGCAATTAATGCAGGGGCCTTTTTTCCGGTTGATGCTTGAGACCGTAGTCGCGCTCGCGAATTCGAGCTTGCAATGTCCTGAAAATAACCCTTAGCCAAAAGCGGCTTGCAACTGACGCAGGTGGGAGTGTTCGCCAAAGACAAACCCCTCCTCTCGCCTGAGCACCGAGATTGTGCCGTGCTGTACAATGGCATCAAACTCGTAAAAGTGTCCCTGCTCAGTCACATCAAAAGCGGCTTTGAGGTCGTCGCTGCCAGAAATGCAGCGGCCTCGTAGCACGTCTAACTGTTCGCCAGTCCCAAAGTCGCGCAACCCCTTGCAAGCCTTAAAGAACCTAAGATCCAGAGGCTGTGCCGAGTGTTGCAATGCTTCCTGGAGCCAATCAGTGGCCGGTGCGGTGGCAGTGGCATGCGGAACAATGGGCGGGCGAAGAGTCGCCCAAAATGGGCGGGGGCCAATCAAGGCGGTCACAGGCAGCGAAGCACAGGCTGCATCTGGAGGAGGAGCCTCCTCTGTAATGTCACTAGCCTCGACAACAGTGGTACAGGCGGGGTTGACTTTGAGGTGGAGCCTGAGGCGAGCATTGGTCCAAAATTCCTTGGAACAAACCTGGCATGCCGTACCAAAAGCAACCGAGTGCGCTGCTCCGATGCCGTGGGCCCTCTTCTTGTGGGCTCCGAGGGCCGCAGCGGAATCGAAAGACCGCCCGCATTGCTCACAGGAGTGTTGACCACAATGATCTCCTGCGGTGGGCCAAATCTCGGCTGCGCTGCGAACAGTCAGACCGAGCCGATCGGCTTGCAGGAAAAGGCGCCCACGTCGCTCGGCAGCCGTCTTGAGCGTCTCTCGCGCCGATATGGCAGCCTGGCGAAAACGCCGCAGGAGGCTAGCGGTCTGAACTGCGTCGTGAGGCCATTGAGTGAACCAGGCTAGGCTCGGCGGGCCGGAGAAAGTAGGCTCCACACGGGAGGAGAGCACCTGCTTGGCTAAGCAGAGGTCCGACTGAACGGCCCTGAGCCAAGTCTGTTCATTCACCAGAGTGGCTTTCAAGAATGCCGAGCCTCTGCGGCATACTTGTCCGAAGGCTCGAAGCCTACGTATGGCAAGCTCCTCTCTGGGGTCGGAGACGCCAAGGAGTGCACAAACCGCATCATCCTGGAGCCTTTTGCACGGGAATCCGAAGATGGGACGCACCGAGCCGCGTAGGAAACCCATGTACAGCTTCCGAAAGACCTGGTACTCAGAGGTCATATGAAGCGGCCACGTCTCCGTGCCGTGCAGAAACGAAGCCAAGACAGTCCCAATCAGCAGCCGTGTGCGCTCAGCAACTGAGAGCCCAGGATTGCGCAAAAGGCGCGCCCGCATGGGGCGGAAAACAACGCGGGCAAGGCCTGCGCGTCGGTGAAGGTCGCTGCTCGGGGAGCCTGTGACAACCCGCTGGGTACCAAGGTGCACATAAGAGGACACACACCGGAGCCGAAAGGTCTGGCCGGGTGGCCCTGGTAGGGGGAGAGTAGCCCCGCCTTCGATGAAGACGGCATGCTTCGCGGCCCGACTGCCCCGCCCCCTGTGAATGAGCAATGCCTCAGTCTTTCCCGGCTCAAAGTTGGTGCGCACGCCGATGAGCAGGAGACATTGCTGTGCCAAGGAAGCTGCCCTGGCAGTGGCAGCACCAAGCCCCTCTGGCTGCAGAGACTCCACCAGCAGGGCTAGATCATCGAGCCAGGTCGTAGGCTCAGCGGCGATCGAACTATCGCCAATGTGGACCGCAGCAACTAGCCCTTCTAGGCGCATCAACTCCTCGATCGCCTTGAGGGCCCTGGCGGCCACGGCTTGGAACAGAAGATCGGCTAGAGGCGCACCTGGCACAGTTCCAACTTGCGTGGATTGCACCTCAGGTGAGGAGGTGAAGGTGGAAAACCACGTATCGGAAAGGAACTGTTGGAGGACATGCTGGGAGGACGGAGAGACGCCCAAAGCAGAAAGCACGCCTTGTGGTGGAAGGTGGCGGAGGAAAGTCTGAACAACTAGCGGCTCGACAGGAAAGGCCACGAGTGCCTGTTCGAGCGCTCCCCTGTCAGCGGAGAACAGAGGCAGACGATCCACACTATAGAACGCTGAAATCCCGTCCAGAAAAACAACCGACGCTGAGAGCCCCCTCCTCGCAGCCAGCTGGATGTGTGACTGAATAGTCAAAGCTGGGAGGGTCAGCGGAATCCCCTTCCTAGCTCCACCCGCAGAAGCCAGCGTATGAGCTTCGAAACCCTGCGCGAGCTCCGGCCTAAACGATTTTTGTATGGCCTTCGCTGCTGGTTCCTGTAACGCTATGCTACGGTACCCGGAGGGGCTCTTGGGGTTTTTACCGGGCTTAGCGAGTGGTCTCGCGATGCTACCCTTCCACAGGCACGGAACAGTGCCTCTGAGGGAGGCCTTGAGAAGCAATGGCAGGTGCGCCAATGCAGCCCCCAAGGGGTCGGAGCAATAGAAGGCTGGTGAAATGCGGGAGATACCGCTAGCGCGGCGCGGCTTCAGTCCCGCGAACGCTCTGGTGATGCAGGCAAGTGAGGGCAGCTCCTCGACGGGCACCGTCCGTTCTGGAACGACGGATGTGGCACTGTTGGCGAGCTTCGCCAGCTGCATGGGAGTAGCTTGCTCGGCCTTGCCAAATTAAAATGCTCGCTGAACTTCGCCGCAACCGCCTCTTCATCCCACATCTCGCCATCAGGCCCCTGCAGAACGACCGCGATCCGCGGCGGTTTGTACGCACGGCCAGACTTCAAGACAGAGCGGAGCAGGCGTGCGAGCTCTGCCGGTCCAGCGCCGCGCGCAGCCTGCATGTTCGCCTTAGCGAAATTCGCTGCATCCTGATGGAAAGAGGCACGGATCAATCTCGACGTCCTGCGCATGCGCCTCAGGTGCATGATGGCCCAACAATCGTTCCTAAGGCGAAGGGCTGCGAAGTGCTGGCCAGCATCACTGGTAGGGTCGTCGCGGGGGGAGGACGCCCATGCTCGGAAGGTGGCATACAGGACTTCTTTAAGGTGCAGGGCGGCCCGTCTCCGGTGAACCCGGCGCAAGTTCCTACGATGTGCCAAAAGCATCCATGTGCCGTGCGTCAGGTAGGGACAGCAGGGCCGTGGCCGAGCAACCCCAAAAGTATGCTGGATGGCACGCTGAAAGTAGCCATTCAGGCAGGCCAAATGGTCATTGGCTTCCATATCCCAGGGGATTTGGGGCACGTGCTGCATGATGCGACGAATGGCGGACTGGCCCTCGCTGGTGAGCATGAGCTCAACATCAGGTGTCCTGGCTCGGGGTGGCGGAGGTAAAGCAAGAACCTCCAAATCGACAACAAGCGGCCAGTGATCGATTTCAGCATGGAGGTCTAGGAAATCAACAGTGCGAAGCCGGCTGAGTCCACTCTGCCAGGACCCAGGCACTCCAAAGTAGTCAAGGCAAGCAGAAAAGCCATCCCAAAGGCTCTTCGATTGATAATTATCCATCGAACGCTCGAAAATATTGTATTTTCTATCTACGCTCGAAAAACCTTTTTAAGCTATGCTAATCAATCGAACAACTGGGTGGTTCGCTCGATTCCTCGATTGAATTTACATGAAACTTCGCTCGATTCCTCGATTGAATTTACAACTCCACCGCTCGATTCTTCGCTCGATTCCTCGATCGAATTTCAAGTGACCAAAGTGTATATTGTTTTCCCCATATATCGTTCATCTGTATATATATATATATACACATATATATATACAAGTATACAGATATGTATATATATATATATATACAGATATATTTATAGATGCATATATATATATATATATATATACATATATGTATACATATACATATATATATATATATGGTGTAATATAATATGTAATGTCTGGACAGACATTATTGTCATGTTGTTTTATAATAGTAATCTTATAAATGCCTGGACAGGCAGCAAGAGCAAGTCATGATTACGAATGCCTGGACAGGCAGCAAGTGCAAGTCATGATGTATATACCGAACCGAAGTTTTTCTTCAAGGATATCTAGCACCTCGATCGAGCCATGGAAACACCTCCGAAGAGGACTCGAGAAGCTGCAGACAGCACGCCCGAGCACGCCGAGAAGAAGAGGAAGAAAATGGATCAGTTTCCAGCACATGTGTTGGCGATGATCGAAACTCTCTCGCACATGGCTGTGAGGGCCACGAACCTGGCGAACTCCCTGATCGTCGAGTCCCATGAGCCAGAGAATCCAGACGATGCTGTGACTTTGATCTTGGGACACCTCGACGACATCGACGACCGGATTCGGGCTTTGGACGAGGAGCTTGAACAGATCGAGAACATGAACTGATGTAGATACAGGGAGTCGCCGAGCTGTAGCTATAGGTGCAGTTTTGGAATCTGAGTGTCTGCCAAAAGAGCATGGAGGAAAGGTGAGAAGAAAATGTTCTTGTTGCAGTGGAGCATGGACTTGTCAATGTCTGGACAGACATGGAAGACGATTTTGCAACAGTTGGTGTGCATATGATGCTTGGAGACCAGTTTTAGGAACATAGGGCCAGGCAGCGAGCCTAGAGCCAGCTCCCGAGCCATGGGTAAGGGAGGTCCTCACCGACGAAAGGTGCCAGATACAGACTTGGTGCATCTACAGGATGTGCTGTCGGAGGCGATTAAGCTGGAGGGAGGCCTGAACTTCTACGAGTACATGAACATGAGCAAGAGTCAGGCGATCTCTGGGGCCTCCTTGTGTTCCCTGAACTCCTTGATCACCAAGGTGATGGAAGTGCAGCCGGCCCTGATCTTTAAGT